TCTGGGCCCAGGCCAGGATGGCCGGAAGGGCTGGAAGTGCTGAGAAGCTGCGGCTAAGAAAGCTGAGAGGAGCAGAGGTGGCAGTGGGCAGGAAGACGGGGCATTGCTTGCTCCCCTAGGTGCTCCCCTTTCCTGTCTCCCAGGAAAGGGTGCTCCTTGGGAGAGATGCACCCATTTTCCTCTTTGGTCCCCCAGTTGAACATGACAGCACTTCCCTCCTCACCCTAGGCGGTGATTTACGATGCAGGTGTCAGATGGGGAGAGGCCGTCCCGGGGTCTATTTATAGCTTCTTCTTGGGGCTTAAAAGGGAGGAGTTGCCAGTCCTGCCGTCTTCAGCCTCAGCCACTGCCCGCCTGCTGTGGACAGACCTCCGCCTGCTCCTCCTGGCCTCTACTTTCCCGTGTGGGTGAGCATCTTGTCCTGCATTCGTTCGTGGCTTTGGGGTCAGGATGATGACAAGTGCACCTGTTAGTGGTCGTGCCTCGGGGCTAGGATAAGCTGTCCCTGAACTCCCTTATGGACAGGCTTCCAGGCCACGAGTGCAGACCTGGGGGCCACCAGGGGTCTACACCCACGTGCTTAGAGAGCTCCATGTAGGACTACCCAACCCCCTCTCTGTGCCCTGGCTACCAGGCCCATTGTGTTGTCAGGGATGGGATGGCCTGGAACAGGCATGCAGCAGTTTGCTAGGTCACCCCTCAGCAGAGGAGAGGAGGGGTGTGCAGCTGGGGTGGGAGAATGAGACCGGCTCCTGGGGCATTGCGCTCAAGGGTTGGCCGCAGGATGCGGGGCCTCTCAGTTGTTCTGTGACCTTTTCAGCTCCTTGCAGGGACCAACTCGGTGCCCACTGCACTCATTCTGGAAAGCGTAGTGGCCAGAGACCCCAGGGGCAGGGTCACTGCTCTCAGAGGCTTGTGCAAGTCAGGGGAGGGAGAAGGGGCACCAGGGGTGGCAGGGAAGGTGCCCTGTCTGAGTCTTCTTCCGTGCCAAATCCATTTCCTACCAAGTGGGAGTGGACCTGGAACTGGGGCCAACATGCAGCAGTGACCACTTTGGGGGACTCAAGCTGTGTGCAGGGTGGAGCCTGTTCTGGGCACCAGGGGCCTGGTCCTTGAGATGCAGGCCAGCCCAGGGGCCGACTCAGCCTTTCCACCTCCCTCTGGAAGCACTGTGAGTGCTGACTGCACAGCTGAGCAGTGGCCAGGGAGCAGGGTGGGGAGGGCTAACATGCAAAGTGCTGTGAAGGGCTGTTGCCATGCTGCATTGGCTGGGACTTTCCCCAGGACCCGGTGAGCTCCCTAGGAGTGCTGTGGAGTTCTGATGGCTGTTGGTCCATCTGCACTTCTCCATCCACTCTGGGTTTCTGTGCCCAGCACCTCATTTATCCTCCTCATTGGATCCTGGTGCAGTTCAGGGAAAAATTGAATCAGGCCCACAGGAGGCCATGAGGTTGAGTCCATCGGTCGCACCTGTTGTGGCCGTGCAAGGTTATTCTGAGGTGCCCGAGGGCCCAGATGCCAGAGCCAATCCTCAGCCCGTGCCGGATCCATTGTTGGCGACGTGCCCACCGATGCTTTTTCTGTAACAGGCCTGTGGAAAGCACTGGGTGGGTGTGGCTCCCTGGTGCAGGACCTCAAGCAGGGCTGGGGTCCCTCCTCCACGCAGCATGCTGACAGCTGACAAGGTTTTCACCTGTTTGGTGGCCATTCCTCCCGTCAGATGAAAGTGAGTGCTTTGTACCCGAGATTTCCCACAGGACAGAGTGGCTCCTGGTTGGGGAGATGATCCCCAGAGGGTCTTAGCAGGAAGGGATCAGGGTACCGAGAACCATGGGCTCCAGCCTGGCGTGAGCCGGGCACAGGGCCCACCCCGATATCCTGCTGCATTTTTGCTCAAAGGACTGCCAATCTCCCCTTGGTTCTACAGGAAAGCAAACTCAGGTTCCCAATCTGGAGGGGCACAAGTTCTGGGGTCCTGGCTGCAGCCCTGGGACACTGGTGTCCAGGAAAGTCCATTTTCCTTGCCTTGGGGGAGTGTGAACATTGATGCCACAGAATATGTGTGTGACATGATTTTCTTCAAAGGGAGCATAGTTTCGTATGCAGACAGTGGGAGTGGGGGGCCTCGTGGTTGCCATCTTCACAGTGACATTCTTGCCAATCCATTCTGGTCCCACAAAGGAAGACTCCATGGCTATAGCACTATGTCTATGCTGGGCTGGCAGGAATGAGCTTCCAGAAGGTTCTTCTAGGTGACCTGGAACAACTGGACAAGGAGAAGGCAGAGGGGTGTGCCCAGGCCCCGTACTGGGGACAGAGTGGGTCAGGGAAGGGGGTGGGGCATGGCCACCATGACCAGAGGGTCACTGGCTCAGAGGACAGCGTGTTCCCTGAGCCAGGAACTTGAAGATGTTTCCACCAGCGCTGCGATTCAGGCTTGGCAGGCCCCAGCAGCCGCCCCAAGGCATCTCTGGAATGGAGAGTGGGTAGCCTTCGGGCAGCCACATGAGGAGAGCCCTCGACAGCACTGGGTGCCAGCAGGAATGGGCACAGCACTTCACTCCAGCAGGGGCAGGTGTGGGAATAAGTGCGGCAGAGCCTCTGTCACATGTAGCACAGGTAGGAGTCTTGGGGCAGAGGTAGGGTGTGTCTCCATGTGAGAGGTGCACCTGCTACAGTCTGTGCTGATCACACTCTCGGACACACAGGATGAGTCCATGACAGGCAGACCACACAGATGGGCCCATGGTGTTGGCAGGACAGCCAGTCACTGGGTGGAGATCACAGAGCTCTGACCTCCCTGGCCTGAGGCCGGAGCCCATCACGTGTGGCTCAGCTCCTACACAAGTGTGTCCACCATAAAGGTCACCTACCCTGTCCTCTGAGAAACGCAAACACGCATGAAGGCCTACAGTATAGTGTGATGCTGTGCAGGCCAGGACTACCTGGGAGGCAGCACATGATGGGCCAGCCGAGTCAGCCCATGCTGGGGCAGGGTCCCCCCGGTCACTCACAGGTGGAAACTGGAGCTGGCACACTGAGCGATGTGACAGTCTCCCTTTGGGGCACTTCCTGGGAAATGCTGCTGAAGCCCCACCAGGCGTTGAAGAGACGGGGATATTTGCAGACAGTTTTTCCTATCTGCGGAGTTTGAACTGGCAGCATGTGACAGGGACAGCTACCAGCTCCTAGGTCGTGTCTGCTCCGAGCCCAGTGCCAGGCAAGGGCGTTTATGGGAGGCCGTGCGATTGACCCTGTGTCCTTCGGTCACTCCATTGGGGTGGCAGAAGAGGTGCCAGTTCTGCTCTGGGTTTGTGGTCATGCATGTGTGCCTACCACCCAGTATGGCACCCATCTGGGGAACACATTGGGTCCCTGTGCACAACCAGGGCTGGTGACCCATTGAGAGTGAGTGTGAAGGCAGTGTGACAAAGGACAGCAAAACCTGGACTGGAAGCCTGGAGACCCATGGTTGTGGCAATCTGTAAAAAAAGATTTATTTTATTTAAAAGGCAGATCTACAGGGGGAAGACACACACACACACACACACACACAGAGAGAGAGAGAGAGAGAGAGAGAGAGAGAGAGAGAGAATCTTCCATCCGCTGGTTCACTCCCCAAATGGTCACAATGGCTGGACTGAGCTGAGCTGAAGCCAGGAACCAGAAGCGTCTTCCGGGTCTCCCACTTGAATGCAGGGTCCTAAGGCTTTGGGCCGTCCTCCACTGTTTCCCAGGCCATACACAGGGAGCTGGGTTGGAAGTGGAACAGCAAGAACTTGAGCCTGTTCCCATATAGGATGCCAGTGCCACAGGCAGAGAGTTAGTGTGCTGAGTCACCATGCCCCCCCGGGCCAGCCCTGTGCATGCATTCTGTCCTCTTGGGTCTCTAGCATGCTTTGCTTTCCACATGGAACAGGCACATGGTCCTTAAGAAAGCTTCCCAGCCCTGTAACTCTGGGGTCTGAGAAATCCCATGAAGAGTGCATTTGGGGAATTACGTGGTTTGCTCTCTGAGCCCATCTATGATCTGAACTGGGTGAGGAGTGTGTGACCCCTCTGTCTTAGCCCTCCCCCTGCCCACCATGCAAGTGGGTTCTGTGGCCTCCTGGGTGCTGCCCAACACACACCTTCTCAATGCAGGGTACTTTAATATAAACACAAAAGGGGAGCTGGGAGCTGAGAGGCCAGGGCTGGAGTCTGTGTGAAAGAGAAATGGTGCTGGGAGCACTCTCCACAAGGTCTGGGAGGCGGTCAGTGCAGGTGGCCGTAGGCAGTAGACAATCTGGCACTTCTGGGCTGCAGGTTCCCAGAGACCAGTGCATCTCAGCGATTTCCTGTGAAGGAAGAACTTCGCCCAGACCTGCTCACCTCCCCATAGAGGCCAGGCTGGGTCCCCCAAAACATCTCTTAGGGTCGGGCTCTGGATCTGGGGGACACCTGGGATATGGGTCCATGGTGAAGCAACTCATGGTCAGAGGCTGGCATGTAGCCATCATCTCTCCAGGGCAGCCCCTGTAAGCCCCCCTAAGACCCTGTACTTCCCTGTGCCCACCTTCCTTATGGAGACGGGCTCGTCTGTGTGCTGGGCCCGACCCCATCCTACCCACCACCACGACTCCTTATGAGCCTTTGTACCATCCTGTGCCTGGTACCCCCTCTCACTTCGGGGACCCATGTGGCCCCTTGTGCCCTGGCTCTCCTCACACCTCTCTTGGGATACAATCCCAAGCATTTGTTTATGCCTCTAATCGGTGCTTTAATTATTTTTATCTCTCCCACTCACACGGCTCTCAGCATGGCATGACTGTGACACCCTTAAGTATTCTATAAATACTTGCTGACCCGTCACACCCCAATCCCCACCCCATTCCCCTGGATGCCCGGGGGCTCCGTGGCTGCCATCTGCTTCTGCCCTCAGGGCAGGTCTGGGGAGATCCCCTGTGTGCTGGGCAGCTGGGAGCTCAGCACTGTTGTGGCCTGATGCAGGAGAACGCAGGATGTCGCTCGTCACGCTGCCCTTCTACCAGAAGAGACACAGGCACTTTGACCAGTCCTATCGCAACATTCAGACCAAGTACCTCATGGATGAGTACATGGCCAGGAAGTAAGTGGGGTCCACGCTGCCCTTGGGCTCTGCCCTCGAGGTCCAGGGCCTGGCACCCACGTCCCTGCATGGCAAGTCCCTGCATGGGGGCTGACTGGGCTGTGTGGCCACTGTGGTCCCAGCCCATGCTCTGGGCACCTGTGGGCTCAACAGACTGGTTAGAAGGTTGGGGGAGGCAGCAGGGGAGCATGGGATGGCTGTCCTGGCTGCAGCGCCTCCTGTCAACAGCACCCTCTGTTTAGAAACACTTGTAGTGCTTTGCTTAGCTGCCACACGCATGACAAACACCAGCAGCCAACCCGCCTCCTGTCCGTGGCCTTAGGGAGTTCAAGTATATTCAGATGTAGATGACCACGCCTTGAATCCAACTGGGCCAGCGGAGGTGTGGCTGGGGCTGAGGGAGAAGCACCCAGGGACAAAGTGCTCACAGAAGGAGGGCAGTGTGGCTGGGGACACGTGTGTGCCAGCTGCAGCATGTTCATCCACACATGTGTGGCTGTGGGTGTGTTTCTCTGCACAGATGTGCACCCGCGTGTGACATGCTGATTTTGTCACAGGTGCAGTTGTGTTTGCACGTGTGTGTGTGCTCCCTGTGTAACTGTGTGGGGAGCAGGGCTGAAGGTTGTCAGGGTCAGCGCTGATTGTGTATGATGTTCGTCAAGGCAAGCGGCCACCCAGATGTCCACCCGCACGGCGACGTCCACCCGCACGGCAACGTCTGCCCACGGCGTGACCTCAGCGCGCAGCACAACTTCAGCAGCTGCGTCCAGAGCTCATGCGGCATCTTCACAGAACGTATCCAGCCAGGCTTCCTCAGGGGGCACCACCTGCCGGTTGTGTGCCAAGCGGGTGAGCGCCGAGGAGGAGGAGCAGGAGAGTAAGAGCAGGTACCAGCCAGGCCCTGGGGCTGCCATGGGGTGGGGATGAGAGGCTGGGGCACCGGGAGCCGCATGCCTCCGGGAGGTTCACTCCATCACTGGCTCTTCCAGTCCTGGGAGCCAAGGGCCTGGAGTAAGTTGCCCTGGTGTTTAACCATCTCCCAGGGCAGGGGCTGGTCGCCTCACTCTGCCCTGCATGCCCTCCAGTGTGCTCAGAGGCCTGAGCCTGAAGACATACTAGCAATGCCCACCCCACTGGCATCGCTGTGGTGGCTTAGAAGCTCGTGCCTGCTGTGGGGTGGTGGTGGGGGTGTGGGCTGCTGTTTGGTCATCTCTGTGGAAACCACTGTCAGGAAGTCTGGGCTGCTCCTCCTCACTTTCCCATGGAGCCACGGAACGAGGGGTATTCAGGATGGTGCCAGCCTGGCATTGTTTCCAGATGACGGGCAGCCACTGGGGCCGACACTGTTGCCTCTTAGGAACAGATGGCGCCTGAATGTCCACAGAGCCGCATTTCTGCCGGGCGTTGACCTCTGTCCACTCTGCACTATGTTTCTATGCCTCCTGACAGCCGCGAGCTCATGTCTGGATGGCAGGATGGGATTTGAGAAAGCTGTGTTATGATAAAGTAACATTAAAGGAAAATTGTGTAACAGAGGTGAACCCTTTCAAAACTATTTTTATTCATTTATTTGGAAGGCATAACAACATGGAGAAACACACAAAGCAATTCCATCTGCTGGTTTATTCTGCAAATGCCTGCATGATCCAGGCCTGGGACAGGCTGAATCCAGGTCTCCCACATGGGTCCAGAGGCCCAGGCCTTGGGCCATCCTTCCAGGTGCATCAGCGGGGAGCTGGATGGGAAGTGGAGCAGTGTGACTTGCAGCATCTTCAGCAGGCAGCCAACTTAAGGTCCCTGACCTAATAGCCTGGCCTTGGGCCTTGGCATTCACCTGACTGAGTGGCCCGTAGGTGACCCTGCAGACAACTGCGTCCTCCTGTCACAAACCCTGAGGTTTGGACACTGGTATCCTCAGGCTTATGCAGAGGGGGCATAGGATGCTTGAAAGCATGACTCCTTCCTGTTGTCCACACACCATCCTAGTGTTCGGGTCTGGGGCCCATGGTGCCCACTGCCTTTCTGTCATGCATGGGCTGTGACACCACTGCCTGTCATTCATGGGCAATATCTCACATGACACCCCTGCTTGTCCATCACACGTGGGCCATGTCTCACATGACACTGCCACCTGTCTGTCATGCATGGACCGTGTCTTATGTGGTACCCACTCCCTGTCTGTCATGTGTGGGCACAGCTTGAGAGCTGCGCCCCACTCTGTGACCCCTTGCAGATCTCCATCTGATTTCTGAGTTACTTGTGGCTCTCCCTTGCAACTGTATCATGCATGATCTCAACACGTTTAAGGAAATATGCTTGGGGTGGTGGTGGTGTGATGGCTCAATAGACTAATCCTCCATCTGTAAGTGCTGGCATCCCATATGAACACTGGTTCAAGTCCTGGCTGCTCCACTTCCAATCCAGCTCACTGCTTGTGGCCTGGGAAAAAGCCTTGGGACTCTGTACCTACATGGGTGACCTGGAAGAAGCTCCTGACTCCTGGCTTCAAATGGGCTCAATTCTGGCTATTGTGACCATTTGGGGAGTGAACCAGCAGATGGAAGATTTTTGTCTCTGTATTTCCTTCTCTCTGTAAATTTTTCTTCCCAATGAAAATAAATTTGTAAAGAAAAAAACAGAAGAGAGGGAGGGATGGTCGTCACCGCCCGCAGGTGAGCTTCCTGCTCACCAGCTCCTGTGTGGATGCCACTTTCTGCCTCCTGCAGGTACCGCTCCCTGGTGGCCTCATATGGCGAGGCTAAGCGGCAGCGTTTCCTCAGTGAACTGGCCCAGCTGGAGGAGGACGTCCATCTGGCACGGTCGCAGGCACGCGACAAGCTGGATAAATATGCCCTCCAGCAGATGGTAGGTTGGCCTCTGGCACAATGGCCTGGGACCTGGTGGCATGCAGCAGCAATGGGCCATGTTCTGCCCTCACTCCTCGCCCCTGTGGTGGCCTGGCCTCCTGCAGGTGGCAGACACAATGGCCTGGGAGAGGCACGTGTTTGAGGAGCGACTGAGCCGGGCACCTGAGATCCTGGTGCGGCTGAGGTCCCACACTGTCTGGGAGAAGATGTCCGTCAAGCTCTGCTTCACCGTGCAGGGCTTCCCCACACCTGTGGTGCAGTGGTGCGTTGGCGTGGGGCAAGTGAACAGAGGTGAAGGCAGGCAGAAGTGAGGGTGGGCAGGGGTGGGGGTAGGCAGAGGTTAGGGTGAGTAGAGATGAGGGTAGGCAGGGGTGATGGTAGGAAGAGGTAAGGATGAGTAGGGGTGAGGTGGGCAGAGGTGAGGGTGAGTAGAGATGAAGGTGGGCAGAGGTGAGGGTGGGCAGGGATGAGGGTGGGCAGGTGTGAGGGTGATGGGGTGAGTGTGGACAGGGATGAGGATAGACAGGAGTGAGGGGGAACAAAAGGAGCCATTTCTCTGCTGACGTCAGGCCTCACTGTTCCCAGGTACAAGGATGGCAGCCTGATCTGTCAGGCTGGGGAGCCAGGCAAGTACAGGATTGACAGCAAGTACGGTGTGCACACGCTTGAGATCAACAGGTGAGATGTGGGCAGGGGGTGGGTGGTGGTTGAGCACAGGGCAGGCTTGGAGATGAACACGTGAAGGTTGGGTGGGGAAAGGGCATGGGGTGGGTTGGGGTGGGCAGGGGGCGGGTGGGGGGTGGAAGTAGTGTGGGCGTGTACACACTGGAGATCAACAGGTGAGGTGCGGGTGGGGGGCAGGGACTGAGTGTTTGGGTCCTGCATCATGTGACCTGTGATGCAAGCAGGGCATCGGGGATTCGATGCTGAGAAGCAGGGGCCACAGTTGTGAGTGCACATGAGTCTGTGTGTGTGCACGTGTGTCTGCAGCTGGTGGGCTGCTCGCAGCGGCGTGGGAGCCTTTGGTCTGTGCCTGCATGTACAGAGTAGAGGAGAAAGGACTGGAGAAGGACAGGGCCAGAACCGCAGGCAGAAGTTGCCAGCTCCTTCCTAGCAAAGGGACAAGTCTGCTCCCAGGTTGGGCCACCTTGACACAGATGCAGAGGTGAGGGGAGGAAATGAGGCCGTATGTGGCCACAGGCAGAGCCAGCACTGCAGTGTGTACCAAATGTCCCATTCTTCCTCATGCCACACACACACACACAATGCAACCATGCAACACGTGCCACACACACAGGGCAATGCACACTATCACACAATCACGTACCACAGCACAGCACGCTGTAAGCAGTATACCACTCTACCATGAATGTGCACACTCCACACGAGCTACACACATCAGACACACAAGTCCATACACCACACATAAACCATGCACATGCCCACACACATACACTACACGTCTTGCTCTGGGAGTGGTCTCCCTGGGGTGAGTAGTGGCCATGGGGGCCCACACGCCGGCTTGAGTTGCTGCCGGCTGCTCCTGAGCTGGGCCTTTGTTGCCCATTGACCAGCAAGCATGCTTTCTCTCTCTGGGGTCAGAAAGGATCTGAGGGCTCTTGGCTCCCAGGTCCTGAACTCCCTCCTGGCCCCCCAGAATGTGCAAATGCCTGGGATGTGTGAGACAAGGAGGTGGCGTGGGCCCCTCCCTGACAGCAAAGCTGTGCACAGAAACACCCACGCTCCACGTGGGTTGAGTCACTGGAAGCCATGGGGTCAGCTGCCCCGTGCTATCCTGTGCACAGGACTGGCTCAGCTTGGTTGACAAATGTGCAGCAGAAGATGTCTCCTGACACACAAACACACAGACCCATGGGTACACATATCCACACAGACACACGTGGGCACCCACACACCCCTTAAGCACACACATGCACACAGGCACACATATGTAAACACACAGAGCCATGGACACACATGCACACAGGCACACATACGCACACACAGAGCCATGGACACACATTCACACAGGCACACATACACACACACAGAGCCATGGACACACATGCACACAGGCACACATACGCACACACACAGAGCCGTGGACACACATGCACACAGGCACACATATGTACACACACAGAGCCATGGACACACATGCAAACAGGCACATATGCACATACACAGAGCCGTGGACACACATTCACACAGGCACACATACACACACAGAGCCGTGGACACACATGCAAACAGACACACATACGTACATACACAGAGCCATGGACACACATGCACACAGGCACATGTTAGCACACACAGATCTATGGACACACAGGCACACAAGCATGTGTGCACATACACAGAGCAATGGGCACACACATCCACACAGGCACACATACGCACACACGCACAGAGCCGTGGACACACATGCACACAAACATGTGTGCACACACACAGAGCTGTGAGTGCACACATCCATACAGGCACGTGGGCACACACACAGAGCTGTGAGTGCACACATCCACACAGGCACACGTGTGCACACATGCTCACTGCGGGTGGTCAGAGCCCCTGCCACAGCCCCTTCTCGGGCTGCTCCTGCCCTGCCTATGAGGTGCTAACTGCTGCCTGACCCTGCTAATTGGTGCTAATGTGCTAGGAGGCTGTCAATCCAAGGGCAGTAACTTGGCTGGCCAGAAAACAGGCTGCAGTCCTGAGGGGGTGGGGCTGTCTGAGGCTGTACCACAGACTCCCCACTGTCCTGTCGGAGCCTTGTTCGTTCTCCGGGTCTTGGACCTCCTCACCACATATCCCATGAAGGCACAGCAGAGTGGATCCCAGCCACATGCCTTTGCCATGAGACACCTGCATTGCTTTGTTGGACTATGTGGGCCTTTGTGGAGAGAGCGAGAGGAGGCTGTGGAGAAGAAGCTGAGAGAAGAGGCTGAGGAAAGAGGCTGTGGGAAGCTGTGGGAGGTGGCTGAGGGAAGAGGCTGAGGGAGGAGGTTGTGGGAAAAGGCTGAGGGAGGCTGAGGGAGGCTGAGGGAGGCTGAGGGAGGAGGTTGTGGGAAGTGGCTGAGGGAGGAGGTTGTGGGAAGTGGCTGAGGGAGAAGGCTGAGAGGCTGAGGGAGGCTGAGGGAGGCTGAGGGAGGAGGCTGAGGGAGGAGCCTGAGGGAGGCTGAAGGAGGAGGCTGAGGGAGGAGGTTGTGGGAAGTGGCTGAGGGAGGAGGCTGAGGGAGGAGGCTGAGGGAAGTGGCTGAGGGAGGAGGTTGTGGGAAGTGGCTGAGGGAGAAGGCTGAGAGGCTGAGGGAGAAGGCTGAGAGGCTGAGGGAGGAGGCTGAGGGAAGGGGCTTAGGGAAGAGACTCAGGGAGGAGGCCATGAGGAGGAGCCTGGGTTTTCCAGACAGACGGTGCACAGCTTAGATCATTAGCCTGACTCCCATGATGTGGATGTGGTCAGATAGAAGAGCTGTACCCTCTGGCCTTTCCAGGATGCCCTCCCAGTTGATGCCTTGGTATGGTGGGGCGGGACAGCACTGATTTCTCATTGTGCCTCAGTCTGTGTTTCCTGTGGCGGGGGCTCATGCTCCCTTGGGCTTCTGCACAGTCTGCTTGCAGCCCAGGGCTGCTTGCTGGGGCAGGGAGGGAGGCCGATGAGTGTGTTTCTTGTTCAGGACGGTAAGCGTTCTCTGCCTGACCTCAGAGCCCCTTCCTGGTGCCACGCCTGAGCTCTGGCTCCAGATGGGCTTCAAGGAGGTGCCTCTTGGCCGTCCCTGCGATGGAGACACCATGTGGGACCCTCAGCAAGTGGACCATTTCAGGCACATCACTGCTGTTGGTGGGCATCCGACCCACCGGGCTTCCTGGGGTCTGGTCGATGCATGTGTCCTAGGAATCTGTTGAGGTGGAACAGGAGTGAGCCTCCACCCAGGGAACTCCTCAGAGGGTTGTCCTGAGAGCCCAGCCCAGCCCAGCCCAGCAGCGTGGCACGGAGCTGGCATTGTTCTGAAACAAGTCACTCACTGACATGCTGGCCAGGGAGTCAGGTTTGCTTTCAAGGAATGCCTTTGTCCAAGTTCAGGTCACCCCCATCTGCAGAGCAGCCCACACACTCGCTGCACTTTCTCTCCCCAGGGCCAGCTTTGAGGACACGGCCACGTACTCGGCGGTGGCCACCAATGTCCACGGGCAGGTGTCGACCAATGCAGCCGTGGTGGTGCGGAGTGAGTGCGCTCCCGGGGATCTGTGGGGGCAGCCTGGCAAGGGGAGTCTGTGTAGGGAGCCTTGGCACCCACTTCCCTTGGCCATATTCGCCTCCTCTCTTGCAGGGTACCGAGGGGACGAGGAGCCGTTCTTTTCCGTGGGACTCCCAATCGGCTGTGAGTAGATACTGTTCTTGTTTTTCTTGACAGAGTTAACACTTTATGTATTGAAAAGTTGGAGTTACAGGCACACACAGATCTTCCTTCCATCCTCTGGCTCCTTCCCTAAAGACCACAACAGTCAGAGTTGAACCAACTGGAAGCCAGGAGTCAGGAGCTTCTTCTGGGTCTCCCACATGGGTGTAGGGGCCCAAAGCTTTGGACCATCCTCTGCTGCCTTCCCAGCGCACAAGCAAGGAGCTGGATGGGAAGTGGAGCGGTCAGAGCTTGAACCAGCACACACTTGGGATGCTGGCACCACAGGTGGAGGCTTAATGTACTGTGTAGCATCGTAGGCCCCAAGTCAGTACAAGATTTAAATAATTGTTTTTCTAAAAGTCAAACCTTTGTCAAAGACTGAATTTCTCCAATCTCTCCCCAGCCTCCCCTGGTCAGCGTGAGGGTGTGGACCAGCTGTTCCTGCATGTCTCTGGCTGGGGGCTATTTTTAGGGCCTGAGTGAGGTCATGGCTTGGAGACACTTTAGGAAAGTGAAGTGAATCCACATTCCGAGTGGCTGCAGAAGCGGCTGCAGTGGCGCTTCAGGGCACGCCTCTTCCCCGCTGCCCAAGTTTCTGTGATCATGGATGGGGCCTCAGTGAGGCTTTAGGGGGCGTCTCCAGGACAGACCCCCTCCCCACTGTGTGTGCAGTGGTGCCCTCGCACACAGGGAGAAGCCCCGAGTCTCCCTGAAGACCCACAGTCCCCCATCTGCACTCTGTGTCCTGCTTGCATTTCCAAGAGGCCCCAGGTCTGTCCAGTCAGGTCCTGCAGGGGCGAGGAGAGCTGTGGCTCCCTACCACCGGCCTGGCCTCCCACGCAGCCCACCAGTGGTGGGGGAGGCCAACTGGGGCCTGACAGACCGACAGCCTAGTGGCTGTGTCCCCGGAGCTCCAAGCCGCTGGGAGCTGAGGCCGAGATGCCCCACAGCAGGATGCGCGATGATGAGCTGCTGATGGGAAAGTGACCCTGGTGCAGGAGGGACACGCTGGGCCTGCTTCATTTGGTTTCCCTGTGTGAATTCCATCGTGTGGGCCACACCCGGCACTTGGTGAGGGCTCCAGGCCAGCAAGAGATAGGCTTGTGGTGGAAAGGGCAGGGTCACTGCAGGACAGGAGGCGGGCTTACTATGTGTGTATGTGATATGTCAGGAATGTGTGTGTATGTGACATGAGAGGTGTGTGATATGCCAGGAATGTGTGTATATGTGTGACATGTGAGGTGTGTGACATGTCAGGAATGTGTGTGTGTGTGTGTGTGTGTGTGTGTGACATGTCAGGAATGTGTGTGTGTGACATGTCAGGAATGTGTGTGTGTGTGACATGTGAGGTGTGTGACATGTCAGGAATGTGTGTGTGTGTGTGTGTGACATGTCAGGAATGTGTGTGTGTGACATGCGAGGTGTGTGATATGTCAGGAATGTGTGTGTGTGACATGCGAGGTGTGTGACATGTCAGGAATGTGTGTGAGTGTGTGTGTGACATGTCAGGAATGTATGTGTGTGTGTGACATGTCAGGAATGTGTGTGTGTGTGTGTGACATGTCAGGAATGTGTGTGTGTGACATGTGAGGTGTGTGACATGTCAGGAATGTGTGTGTGTGTGTGACATGTCAGGAATGTGTGTGTGTGACATGCGAGGTGTGTGATATGTCAGGAATGTGTGTGTGTGACATGCGAGGTGTGTGACATGTCAGGAATGTGTGTGTGTGTGACATGCGAGGTGTGTGATATGTCAGGAATGTATGTGTGTGTGACATGTGAGGTGTGTGACATGTCAGGAATGTGTGTGTGTGTGACATGCGAGGTGTGTGATATGTCAGGAATGTATGTGTGTGTGACATGTGAGGCGTGTGACATGTCAGGAATGTGTGTGAGTGTGTGTGACATGTCAGGAATGTATGTGTGTGTGATATGTCAGGAATGTATGTGAGTGTGACATGCGAGGTGTGTGATATGTCAGGAATGTGTGTGTGTGTGACATGTGAGGTGTGTGACATGTCAGGAATGTGTGTGTGTGTGACATGCGAGGTGTGTGATATGTCAGGAATGTATGTGTGTGTGACATGTGAGGTGTGTGACATGTCAGGAATGTATGTGTGTGTGACATGTGAGGCGTGTGACATGTCAGGAATGTATGTGTGTGTGTGATATGTCAGGAATGTATGTGAGTGTGACATGCGAGGTGTGTGACATGTCAGGAATGTGTGTGTGTGACATGTCAGGAATGTGTGTGGGTGTGTACATGAGGTGAGATGTATGTGTTAGTGTGTTAGTATGTGTATATGTCTGCACCTGTGTCTTTGTGTGGTGTGTGTGTGTGAGTACATGGATGTGTCTGCATGTGGTATCTGTGTGTGGGCATGCTCGTGTGTGGTGTCTGTGAGTGTGTCTGCATGTGTGTGGGGGCATGGAGTGGGCACACAGGTAGCCCCAGACCACCGGAGAGAAGTTGCTGGGTATGGCTGAGAGGACGGGGGCTCAGGCTCCCAGGCCTTCCAGTAAGGACATGGGGGTTGGCAACGCTCATCTCACCCATGGAGCAGTCGGGGCAGTGCCCACAATGCCACCCTCAGCTATGTGCTTGGCTCTAGTGAGCGTGGACACGCAGGCCCAACAGCACTGCAGAGATGTGAAGCCTCCTAGCCCCTCACCAGGGCCCACCTCCTGGTCAGCCCAAGGGCAGCTATGGCCCATGGGCACGTGTGGGGCTGATGCTGTAATCGACCCCATCTTGCTGTGTGGACTGTGAGGACCAGAGGTGGCTGCCCAGGCAATTGGGAGTGTGCTGGGCTCTGGGGCCCAGGGGTGGGATTCGGGAGGCCTGGACCTGGCTCTGATAGTGTCCGCTCTCTCTGTGCAGTGCCCCTGGCTGCTGTGACCCCCTACATGCACTTTGATGTCCAGTTCTTGGAGAAGTTTGGGGTCACCTTTAGGACAGAAGGCGAGACTGTCACACTCAAGTGCACGTTGTTGGTGACCCCAGAACTGAAGAGGGTGCAGCCACGGGTCGAGTGGTACCGGGATGGTGAGTGCCCAGGGACGTGGCTCCCGCATGTGTGGCCCTCTGGGCAGGCATGGCATCTAACCAATTTGTGTGGTCTTGGTCATTCTGTGAGCTGTAAATATTTAGTGGCACCAACCTTGAACTCCACTCAGGAGAGTCCTGGGAGATGACAAGGAGAGACCTCAGTGTAGATGAGTCCCTTGGGATTTTCCTCTCCTTGGGTTCTGAGCAGAGTGGGGTATCTGTCACTTGTACCTTTACTGATGCTGATGGCTCATGGGCCAGACCAGGGCTGTCCCTGTATCACAGAGGGGTCAAGACCTTCCTGTGGCAGTGAGTCTTTCAGGAGAGCTGTCCCTGACAGCCACAGTGGCCATGTGGGTGGCAAGGGTAAGGGGCTGGGGCTGTCCCATGGTGCCTCTTGGAACAAAGCTGGCAGCTGCCAGGGATCTTTGTGGTCACCATGTGCATGAGTGCTTGTGTGTGGGTCCATGCCGGGCGCTGCTCACTGCCAGGTTCATGTGTATGTGTGTGTGATAGGCACAGGGCTCCCTGGCAGCTTCTCCCCCAGCCCTGGTCCCAGCCCTGCCTGCTGCCCAACATGCCAGGTTCTCTCGGGCACAGGGCTCCCTGGCAGCTTCTCCCCTAGCCCTGGTCCCAGCCTTGCCTGCTGCCCAACATGCCAGGTTCTCTCGGGCACAGGGCTCCCTGGCAGCTTCTCCCCCAGCCCTGGTCCCAGCCCTGCCTGCTGCCCAACATGCCAGGTTCTCTCGGGCTTGCCTGCTCTTTCAGACGTGCTGCTCACTGAGACCCGGTGGACCAAGATGTTCTTCGGTGAGGGCCAGGCTTCGCTGTCCTTCAGCCATCTGCACAAGGATGATGAGGGGCTGTACACCTTGAGGGTCGTGTCCCGCGGCGGCGTCAGCGACCACAGCGCCTTCCTGTTCGTCAGAGGTGTGTGACAGCTGCAGGGATCAAGTGAAGTGTCAGGATCAGGGAAGGTGGGAGGAGGCTATCTCCTCGAGACTTCTATGTTGTGTCGGTGACACCTGTTAGGTGTTGGCACCCCAGGCTGCACTCCAGCCCTGGGGGTAGGATGGGAGTGATGCCAGCCCACAAGGCACACGTGTGTCACCCTAATCAGTGACTGTCAGACTCTACCATCCAACTTACAGGGTTCCCCAAGGCAATGGGGCATGTCAGAGGGGCTCTGGTGTTGGGGAAAGCCAGCCAGGGGTCCCTGTGACTGCCCGTTCTCCATCAATGTCCAGTTCCTGCTGGACATAAGGTGGTGACAGCGACCCCGTCTGCCAGCCTCATCAGGGTGCTGCCACATGCCGGTCCTGATGATGCCAGCTCTCTGCTTGGTGGTGGGCTCAATGCCCAGCAGAGCTTCAGGAGGAGGGGCCTGTGGGCATTTGTATGGGGAGAAGCAGAACAGAAGCCAGTGCTGGGCATGAGGCATGTGTAAGCACCAACATACATGTATCCCAACTTCACATACATGCAGACATGTGTGCACACATGCTCATATCATGGTTATAATGCAGAATGCTCATGGCATGTGCGAGAACTAGTTCCACTGTGGGTTTTCCGTCAGCTGGGACCCCACATTGCAAGTGTGCTTTCTCTCTTGCTGCCCCAGATGCTGATCCGCTGGTTACTGGGGCTCCTGGCGCCCCCATGGACTTGCGATGCCACGATGCCAACCGGGACTATGTCATCGTAACCTGGAAGCCGCCCAACACCACCACCGAGAGCCCCGTCATTGGCTACTTTGTGGACCGGTGAGGGGTGCCTGCAGGGCTCATGTAGCTGATGTGTCCCAAGGAGACCATGAACACGGAGGAACCTTTGTGTCCTCTGCTCTTTGCCTGCTGATGTGGCTGCTGCAGGTTGAAACACTCAGAAAAACACTGCCCTGAGCATGTGAAGACTCTTCCTTATTATGCTGAACAATACAATGTAGCAGCTACCTGCCAAGTGTTAGCTCTCCGCAGGGACAGGATCTTAATGGGTGGGCCTGTGCAGGTCCCGTCCTTGGCAGCACAGGTTGTAACTACATGGGTGTCCTGGCGTTTGTTTGGCCCCTTGGGTTACTTGTCTAGCATTTGCTGTTCTGTGACCTTGCAGATGTGAAGTGGGAACCAACAACTGGATTCAGTGCAACGATGCCCCCGTGAAGATCTGCAAGTACCCTGTGACAGGGCTCTGCGAGGGCAGGTCCTACATCTTCCGTGTACGGGCCGTCAACAGCGCTGGCATCAGCCGGCCCTCCCGGGTCTCGGACGCGGTGGCCGCTCTGGACCCTGTGGACCTCAGGAGGTTACAAGGTGGGCTGTGTGCGACGGGCCCTGTTGTGAGTGATGGGTCATCCTCTTCTACTGCTGACTGCATGAGCCTGGGGGAGCTCAGCTTGGCTTAGGTCCAGCTGGAGTGGCCACGATCCCATGAGGAGTCTGTATGCCACACTCAGCCTGCCCTTTCTCTCTGCAGCCATTCATCTGGAGGGCGAGAAGGAGATTGTGATCTACCAGGATGACCTGGAAGGTAAGGGTCTTCACTGCGGGCAGTGTGTCTGTGAGATGGATGCGCTGTGAGTGTCCTCATAGGTTTGTAGGTCAAGCAGGCGACCTGAGGTCACCGAAGTTTAAAATAAGAAGGATCCAGGCAGATGAGGGAGGTGGGTGGGGTGGAGTGCAGGACTGTGCAGGTGCAGGGAGGAGGCTGTTGGGCTCAGGAGCCTCCGGGGGTGGCGCGCAGCTGTCCTGACTGGTCCCTGCTTATGGTCTCTGGTCTCCTATACCAAATCACAGCGAGGCCTGCAAAGGAAAGCTGGGGGCTAGGCACTGTCCATCCTCACAGGTGCTGAACCCTGCTTCCTGCAAATACTTTTTGAAGATTTGTTTACTTTTATTTGAAAGTCAGAATTAGAGAGAGGAGGAGAGACAGACAGTATGAGATCCTCCATCTGCTGGTTCCCCAAGCAGACGCAGTGCCCAGAGAGCTGAGCTGGTCCAAAGCCAGGAGCTTCTTCTGGGTTTCCCACATGGGTGCAGGAACCCAAGGACTTGGGCTGTCCATGCTCTTGATTGCCGGAGTCCAGCTCCAGCTGAGTTCGGAGCTCGAGAAGGGTGTGTGGAGTCGGCGATAAAGAAAGACACAGACACTTGTTGCGTTTTTTCTGCCTGCTTGCTTCTTGCTTGCTTGCTTTCAGCTTTCAGCATTCAGCATCCTCATGCTCAAGAAGAAGCTGTTCTTTTTATTTTCTTAGACACATCACAAACTTCTGCACAAACGTTTGATTTTTTATCTTTTACTTTAGAACTAAGACAGCATGCACAGATGTTCAATTAATTTTTACTTCATGGTCAACCAGGTGCTCTTAAAGATAATTCTGTAAGTTACTATAATCAGTTTCTTTAAAGCAAGCCATTATTCATTCTTCAGATGTGACCACTAGGTGACAGCCAGAACTCCAAGGCCAAGGCACAGATGGTTACCTACTAATTAGTAAAACATTCTTACTACATTTTATTTTCACAACTTTATCTATCACATAATGGGAGAAATACATCAAAAGAGAAAAAATATAAGGGTCTAAGACAAAAAGTTTCAAACATTAAATCCCCCTACGACTGCAGGCTCTACCGCCTCATAAGCAATCAAACAATAATCAAAAGTATATCTCTGTGATGTTAATAGAATCATCCTATATTTCCTCTAGTTAAAAGATTGTGAAAGTAGCTAAAGCAGCTACATTTTCTATGCTCTAAAGAGTTGCAAGGACAGGTTAACCTTTAAGGTCACAGCAACTATATTTTTGCCATAGCAGTTTCAGCTCTTACTCCCATCACTTCCATTAGTTTGTAAGATTCTTGTTAAGCCATTTCCCAGAAGGCATGCTATATGTCTGGGCCCGATTTCAGGGCAATGGGTAGGCACACAATAAGGTGTCCAGAAATGGCATGGGTTTAATTGTACTCCTGTGCGCAGTTAAAGGCCCACTCACCAAGACATCAATAATATTAACTCTTAAGCTCACAGTAGTTGCCAAAGCCATCTCACAGGGGCAAACAATGCCTCAATAGATTACAGAATTCTTAGTGGGATACTTGAGTGTCCGTGCAAACAGGGGGTGAGACTGCGTCAAGGTGGTCAGAGAGAAATCGCCGGGCCCTGCCAAACAGCTGGAAGCTCCCCAGGCCCTGCCAAGCAGGGAGCTGTTCTCTTCACACCTTCGTGTCATCCATACCTACTGCACGGACCCCAGCACTTGATAGGTTCCCCATGAGTGGCACCCTGTGAGCCATAGTGTTCTCCACAAAGGGAGAAGCCCAAGGAGTGCTGCCCAGGTCACCCCAAGATAGCCTGGGCAGCCGTGGCTAAACCCCCTGCCAACATGGTAGGGCTGAGCTGTGTGTCTCCGTAACTGCCCCACTCTCTAGAGTCTGTAGTCTGCTGCATAGGAAGCCTCTTCAATGATTAAAGCAAGGACGTGTCAATGAATGAAAATGGCCCCAGTTATGCTGGGAGAGAGAGTGCTTTCGCCTCACTCTGGCCTGCGTAGCACATGCATGTCCAGCAGTGCTGGTGGACAGGGCCATCTCCATCCCCTCCCTAGGCTGGTTTAGAGCATGGACAAGCAGGAACCCAGAGCTGGCAAATGCAACCTTCCCTTGGTTCTCAGCTGTGTGGGCCCAGGCTCTGGGTTCCTGGGCTGTGCCTACTGATCACAGTCCCTGTCTGCATTTGTCCTGGAGATGCCTGGTGCACCAATGTCGTGCCAGCATGACTTGGGACCAAGTCCATGTCACACCTGTGTCATGTACCTGTGGTGTGGGCTATCATGGAGGGAGGCTTGGCCAGTCTCCTCTCCAGTGGATGAGTCCTGTGGAAGAAACCAGATCCAGTGAGGGGTAGAGAGGGTGCCTAGGGATGGCTCAAGCTGTGTAATCCTGTGCTAAGCTCTTTGGAAGCTCCTAACATTGGGTATCACAGCCCTGGGGCTTGGAACAGCGTGCCCAGCTGTGGGAGTCCCTTGTAAATTCCTCTGGGCCCACAGTACCCCTCCCCTGTCCCAATAAAACAAAGGCGCAAGTTGGAGCCACGCGCTGCTCTTGTTTCACAGTTGGCCATGACTGCACCGCAGCAAGCAGGAGGCCCAGGCTGATGCCTGTGGCTGTGACTCTGGTCTCCTGGGAGGGGAGCAGCAGGTGTTTGGAGGGGAGCAGCCGGGAGTCTTGGCAGATGGGAAGACAGCCTCCCCTGTGCTCTGTGGGCTGCACTCCCTGTCCTGGAGGACCTGGCTTGGCTCTGTTGGAGGCCCCTCAGAAAATGTAGTCCCAGGTTTGCCTCCACACAGTAGGGCAGGGGCTGGGCTGCAGGGCCCAGTCTCCCAAGGGTTAACTCCACAGCTTAGCTTGTTTCTCTACAGGTAACAGGATGGGCAATCTTGGCCTGATACATTTAGCCCCTGGCTTGACCACAAATTCCCTCTTCCCTGTTTCCCATTTTTTAAGATGCTCCCAGGGGAACTTAGGAGTTGCTTGAACATTGGGAAAATACTGGGAGGAACTAGGCAGACTATAAAAGGAGCAGGTCAACTTCAAATAAATGGCATTCTCTTTACAAGAATGACTCACTATGTGTTGTCTTTTTTGTAAACCTAGTCCCTCCGCTCCGCTTGGGGTACGGGCGATGCAGGCATTGCCGACACTGGGCCCTTCATACTTCTGGTGTGTTGCTCCCGCAGGTGAGGTTCAGGTCCCAGGGCCTCCCACTGATGTGCATGCTGCTGAGGTCAGCAGGACTTACGTGGTGCTCAGCTGGGAGCCTCCAGTGCCCCGTGGCAAGGAGCCACTGATGTACTTCATTGAGAAGGTACCGTCCCCTGCACTATTCCTCCCTCCCGGTGGGGGTGCCCTGGGCCCACTCAGGATGAGCTAAAGGTTAAGGCTGAGCCAGTCCAGGAACTTCTGGAATGAGAACCACATGAAGGAACAGCATGAGGGGCAAATCAGCTTGGCTCTGGGACCGTGCAGTGGGTGGGTGGGTGCTCACAGTCCTGCTTTTGAGTCCTCTGCTTCTGGGGAAGGAGCTGAGCCTGGGGGCTGTCAGGGCCCCTCCTGGATCTGGCTTAGTGGCTGCTCAGGGCTCCATGGGGTAGAAGGTGGTGTCCCAAGCTGGAGCCATCCTGAGGAGGAGGAGGAGCAGCTGGTCACACACCCTGAGGCCTGTGAGCAAGTGTTTCTATTCAGACACAGGAAAAGTTGGACAACACACACACACAGGTGCACACAGACACAAATACATTTTATAGTATAAGCCTGAAGACACAACAGAGAATACACTGTATGCTATAACCCTGCACACACACACATGCAAATTGTATATTATAACCCTGCACACAGACACATACACACATCACATTGTATATTATAATCCTGCACACACACACATGAGCAGCTGCAGGACACAGGCTGGACCTTCCCACCTGGGGCTTCTCTGTCCTGGATAGGATATTTGGGCAGCTGTTGCGGGGTCACTCTGGGGGCCTAACCTGGTACATTTGGCTTGCAGTGGTGGTAGAATTCTGTGGACATGCTGCTCATCAGTCACATGACATTCTGCTTTTCCATCCAAGGACTGGCTGAGCTTTCTGCAGTGGACATTTGTAGTGGACAATGCCTTGATGGTGGCCACCTTCAGGCCACCCTCACTCCATTGTGTGCCCCGGAGTGGCTGGTGTGGTCTTGTTGGCTGTGGTGGGTCCGGTCTCCTCTGCATGCTTTGAGATCTCCCTGCCCTCACCTGGTCCCCCCTTACCCTCCAGTCTGTGGTTGGGAGTGGCAGCTGGCAGCGTGTCAACGCTCAGACAGCCGTGCGGTCGCCTCGTTATGCCGTCTTCGATCTGGCTGAGGGGAAGCCTTATGTGTTCCGGGTCCTGGCGGCCAACAAGCATGGCCTCAGCGATCCCTCAGAAATCACGCCACCTATCCAAGCACAGGACACGACTGGTGAGTCCCCATGGTTGAGGCACGCCACATGGTGTGAGGCTCATGTCTGTTCCAGAATTTGTCTTCTTGACATACAACCAGCCAACTGGTGGGTTCAGAGCATCTCTTGTCAGTGGGTACTTTACAAAGAGTGTGAGGCACCTTGCTGGGGCTGGAGGTCCCAATGCAGAGAGTTCAAGCAGGCGTTGTAGGAATCTCAGTGGCCACCCCTTGAGGCCTGGGCCAGGGCGTCCTGCAACTCCACACTGGTGAGGTGCCAACAGGACAGGCCAGGGTCAAGGGCCCTGAGAACCTGGGCCATCTGTGTCCTCCTTGTCTGCCCCGTGGTAAGTGGTGGAGCCGGGTATAGAGGCCATTGGGAACCTGAGACTGGCCATGGATGGAACTAGTTTTGGGTCCCCCTCTGCTAACCCCAGGTCCCTTGGCAGATGATAGCCTTTTCTGCAGGCAGGCAGATGGTGCGTTGATGGACACAGGAGCTCAGGGCGGCTCAGGGGCATAGGGGTGGCGCTACATCTGTGGATGTCCCCAGGCCCGGAACGAGGCATGCAGACATCACTGTCCAATCACGAGTCAGCTCTGAGTCCCCAGCACAGATTCTTGTGAATCAGAAAAAAACAAAACAAAACAAAACAAAAATAAAAGCCACATTTGTTTTTTAAAAATCAGCCATTCTTTCTCAAAGCAGTTACTGCCCAGGTAATCCACTTGTGGGTCCTTTAGCCATGATGCTGGTGGGGCAGGGCAGCTTGGAACCCAAGTTGTCTTTCTTCCTCAGGGTTGGGGGGGCCCTTCCCCACTGTTTGGGAGCTTTCCCAGAGGTTGCAACTCTGTTGCCCCTAGCCTGACCTGACACTGTCCCCTTGGCACAGTGGTCCCATCTGCTCCTGGCCGTGTGCTGGCTTCTCGCAACACCAAGACTTCGGTGGTGGTGCAATGGGACAGGCCGAAACACGAGGAGGACCTGCTGGGCTACTACGTGGACTGCTGTGTGGCAGGGACCAGTGTGTGGGAGCCGTGCAACCACAAGCCCATCGGATATAACAGGTGCCAACCTACGCATTGCAGCCCCCAGCCTACAGGACCCCTAGGCTTCTGGGGGTGGGTACCCTGTGCCATTAGGACACCACCCACTGCCTCAGTATGTCAGGCCTGAAGTGCCTGTTGTGATCAGAGAGGAGGCCTCATTGCAGTCTCGGGGAGGTGTGGAGGGGAGCTTCTACTAGGGCCGAGGGAGGGAGGAGCTGGGTGGCCGGGTCACTGTCCTGCCTCTGTCTACAGGTTTGTGGTACATGGCCTGACCACGGGGGAACAGTACATCTTCCGGGTAAAGGCTGTGAATGCTGTGGGCACCAGTGAGAACTCCCAGGAGTCTGAAGTCATCAAGGTGCAGGCTGCCCTCAGTACGTAGTGCTTGGCAACACCCGCATGGATGGCAGGGTTGGCAGTGTCGGGGTCTCACTGGCTGAGGAGGGGCGGGAGGGATGAGGTCAGGTGTACAAGGGGCTCCATCACCCAGAGACCAATGCAGTGGGGAAGGCATTGGGTGACCTCAGAAGGAGCCAGCCCCTCCTTGACAGGGTGCTGTTATGGGGAAAGGCAGGCCAGACAGAAACAGTGCTTGGTTGGATGTCGTTCACATACTGGCAGGTGTATTTGTGTGTAAGACACCCGTCTGCAGCTTGCTTCCCAAAAAGGGTGATGCAGGATGAAGCTGCATGGTTGGTGGGTTGGTGGAGGTGGTGGTGGGCCCCAGGGGTCCTCCACAGGGTGACTTCCACACTGTATCCCCACAGCCGTACCCTCTCGCCCATATGGGGTAACACTCCTGAACTGTGACGGCCACTCCATGACTCTTGGCTGGAAGGTGCCTAAGTTCAGCGGTGGCACGCCCATCCTGGGCTACTATGTGGACAAGCGCGAGGTCCACCATGAGAACTGGCATGAAGTGAACGCTTCGCCGATCCAGGAACGCATCTTAACGGTGGGCTCCTTTCTCCTTCCTCCACTTGCATGGCCCAGGTGGCCTCTGTGTGGTGGTGAGCTTCTGTGTGTGTGTTTCCTGGTTCCTTGGCCTTAGGTGCCCTGGGGCAGGAGTGATATGGTCCTCGACCTCCACTCCCATCTCCCCAGCAAGTCTGCAGCCTGTGTCCACAGTGGGCAGTGTGTTCAGAAGGGGAAGGCCTAGATTCGGGGCTGGGAAGCCCTGGCTCCTGATTGTGTTGCTGGCTCTTTGAACTTGTCCCGTTGGATTGCTGGTCTCTGAAGCTCTGGAGTTGTGGCCTCCAGCCACTGGCCCTGTGAATGAGGGGTGTCAGGGAGCTCTGAGAATGCCCATCAGAGTCTAGGGATGTTTCTATGCACACTCATGTCATGAACTAGAATGTTTATAATAGTAAACACACTTCTAAATGCCACTCACATTTATACTACATACACATGTGTTATGTGCATGTTCGTAGCATGTACACGCATGACACACACTTGTGATTATAATATGCACACTGAGCCATGCACACACATTTACAGGGTGCACACAATGGTCTGTGTTGTCAACACCCGCAGGTTTATTGTGACATCACTGACCCTGATGTGTCCGGCTTCTACCTGTGGCCCCTGATTGTTTGAAAGATTCATTTGTTTGAAAATTAAAGTTAGCAGAGGGAGATGTGTATGTGTTATACTAGTTCATTCCCTAGATTGTCGTAACAGCCAGGGCTGGGCCAGGCTGACACAAGGAGCCCACTGAGCCACTACCCTAGCCCTCTTCCCCCTCCTGGTGGGTCCAAGGACTCCTGTGATGTGGCCTGTAGTGTGGCCTGGGGCAGGGACTTCCTGGGGACACAATGGCAGTTCCAGGTCCCAGTGTCCCATCTCCTGCCCTCTCTGTCTCACTCTGTGGACCTCGTCTTGTGGGGTCTTCCTAGTTCTTCTATCGGAGGGTGTCCTCATGTGGCCCCTGTGGGTTGTTCCATCAGATATGGCCACAAACTTCCCTGCAAATGTTTGCTATGACAGCACCCCATAGCCACCCTTCCCTCACCCGGTACTCTGCACTAAGCCAACCCCCCACTACCAGGTGGAAGGCTTGACAGAAGGCTCACTCTACGAGTTCAAGATTGCGGCCACCAACCTGGCGGGCATCGGGCAGCCATCAGACCCCAGCGAGCACTTCATGTGCGAGGCCTGGACGGCACCAGAACCCGGTGAGATACTCCTGGACAGCCTATCTGTCCCCTCCCCTTCCTTCTTCTCCTGGACAGGTCATCTGCTCCCTCCCCTCCTGAATTGGCCACCTGTCTCCACTCCCCTCTAGCCGGCTGGAGACCAGTGTCTGCCCATCATAGCTGGCATGGAATGAGCCCTGGTGGTCCCCAGAGCCAGCCCACAAGCTCCATGCATGGGGTGCAGTGTGACTCTGTTTTGGTGGCTCTGGGGGATGCTCCAGCATCCTCCAAGCTTACCATGGGTAGCAGAGGGGATGTCAAAGCAGGAGCCGGAGGCAGGAGGCGAGGGCTCCTGATCAGCCCCTGTCACCAGCCTGTGTGGGGACCTACGCCTTGTTTCTTGCATGCCTGCTTTCTGATAAGAATAACTCTGGGCTGGTAGAACAAGTACCGGTGTCCTTGGCCTTAGGCTGTGGCAGGGACTAGGCCTGGGTGCGGCCAGGGTGGGGCTATGTGAACCTCCTGTGGGGCTGGGCATGGGTGGGGTCTGAGGAGTCAGGGTGTGACCAGGGGTATGACTAGGGTGTGGCCTTGGCAGGCCTGGGGCCAGGGGTGTGACCAGGGCTGTGGCCAGGCTGGGTAGGGGTGGAGCTGGGGCAGGGGTGTGACCAGGGCTGTGTCCAGGCTGGGTAGGGGTGGAGCTGGGGCAGGGGTGTGACCAGGGGTGTGTCCAGGCTGGGTAGGGGTGGATCTGGGGGCAGGGCTTGGAGTCAGGGGTGTGGCCAGGCTGGGTAGGGGTGGAGCTGGGGCAGGGGTGTGACCAGGGCTGTGGCCAGGCTGGGTAGGGGTGGAGCTGGGGCAGGGGTGTGACCAGGGGTGTGTCCAGGCTGGGTAGGGGTGGATCTGGGGGCAGGGCTTGGAGTCAGGGGTGTGGCCAGGCTGGGTAGGGGTGGAGCTGGGGCAGGGGTGTGACCAGGGCTGTGGCCAGGCTGGGTAGGGGTGGAGCTGGGGCAGGGGTGTGACCAGGGGTGTGTCCAGGCTGGCTAGGGGTGGAGCTGGGGGCAGGGCCTGGAGTCAGGGGTGTGGCCAGGCTGGGTAGGGGTGGAGCTGGGGGCAGGGCCTGGAGTCAGGGGTGTGGCTAGGGTGGAGCTGGTGGTGGGACCTGGAGTCAGGGTGTGACTGGGGGTGTGGCTGAGGCGGGGTAGGGGAAGGGCTGGGGGTGGGTCTTGGTCAACTAGGGCAGGGCTGCAGTCCCGCGTCAGGTGCACACTCCTATTGCAGGCCCTTCCTATGACCTGACGTTCTGCGAGGTCAGGGACACATCGCTGGTTCTGCTGTGGAAAGCCCCAGTCTACTCAGGCAGCAGCCCCGTTTCCGGGTATTTCGTGGACTTCAAGGAAGAGGATTCCGGTGAATGGAGCACTGTGAACGAGGCAGCAACTCCCAACCGCTACTTAAAGGTGACACCTTCCTCCACCGTCTTACTCCTGTGCAAAGGTGACTTCCACTCTGTGAATGGGCTCACGGCCTGAGTGGAGGCTACCCCACAGAGGGGCTAACCACGTGGTCGGTGTTCACACCCCTGTCGCTGTGCCATGAATGTGTATACAATCACACACTTGCCTACACATGGGTGTACAAGCATGGAGACAGAGCCATACCCATGACAATCCACAAACAGAAGCTCAAACACACATAAACATACATGGACACATGTGTACAGACCTGAGTCAAGGACATACAAATACCTAGAATACATACAAGGACAGTTGTGTACACAGCTTCAGTATCCAATGTGATTTTCCTGTGCCTGACAATCTCAGTGTTGCCCTTGTGTAGCCACTCCCTCCCTCCGTCTCTCTCTCCCTGCCTCTCTCTGTTCCCCTCCCTTCCCCTCCATCTGACTCCGTGCCTCCCTCCGTGCCTCTCTCCCTCCCTTCCTCTGTCTCAGTCTCCTTTCTCCCTCTCTGCTGTGTCTGTCCTTATGCCTTTCAAGTAGCTGGGAACAAGCAGAAAGGCAACACTGAGCAACATGGAGGACAGCAAAGGCGTCTGGAGTCACCTGGTTTCCTCTGTTGCTTCCAGGTCTGTGATCTGCACCAGGGCAGAACTTATGTGTTCCGCGTGCGGGCAGTGAATGCCAATGGGGTGGGGAAACCCTCGGACGTGTCTGAACCCGTGCTGGTGGAGGCCAGGCCAGGTGAGGATACCCTGCAGCGAAGGGGTGCACATGTGTGCATCTGGGTGGCTGTGTAGGGCACTGTGCAAGGTCTGGGAAGTGCTCGGGCTGGCACATGGAATAAGGCAGGCAGCTTTGGGCCAGTCAGCACTGGGAATGGTTGTGCTGTTGCTGGGAGCAGGGAGAAGACACAGGTGGACAGAGCTGTCAGTGACTTGGGGTGCAGTCAGTGAGCCCCATTTGGCCTCCTAGGAGGGGCAGTGCCCCTGGCTGGACAGCAGCCAGGTGTGGACCTGGGCCACCACCTGTTGCACCTGCCACATCTGCTGCTTCCTTCCTGCACCTTAGTTCTCTTCTTCTGTCCCTGGCTCTTTGCTCTAATGGTAGAGTGCATGTGTGGCCCCTCCCAGTTCCCATAGAGGCTCAGCTGCACCTGCCCAGTCCCCAGGCCGAACCTGACTGGTCTGGGACCCTCCTGACCCATACCTAGCCAACTCCCCCTCTCCTCCCCTCCCACAGCCAGAGCAGACTCAGAGGACAGGTGGGGCCTGTGGGGCATAATCTGGTATGGGCCTGGTTGCCCATTTTACTGAGGAGTTAGTGTGCAGTGGTAGGAGCTGGCTCAGGCCCGATGGCATCCCTCATGGTCAGGGCTGCGCATTCCAGCAGCCGCCGCCCCTCCACTGCCCTCTGGGTGTGTCCTGAGTGGCCACTGGGGTGTGAAGCTGAGCAGTGGATGTGCCACCAGCAGGGCCCATCCCACCTGACATCCACGGGCTTACCCTGCATCCCTGCCTGCAGGCACCAAGGAAATCAGTGCTGGTGTGGATGAGGAAGGAAACATCTATCTGGGCTTTGACTGCCAGGAGATGACAGATGCATCCCAGTTCACCTGGTGCAAGTCCTACGAGGAGCTCGCAGACCCAGAGCGCTTCCGTGTGGAGACAGAGGGTGACCAGTGAGTGGGGCATGAGCATGCGTGGGTAATCCCACTGCTGGGAGCCGTACTCGCCAATGCCCGCTGCACCCATTGATGCCTGCCATGTCCATGCTGCCCTACGCCCCCACTGACACCCACCTATGTCCACCCTGCTCCTGCTCGGCCCACCCACGTCCACCCTGCTCCTGTTACCCCCACCTATGTCCACTGCATTCACTGACACCCACCCATGTCCACCCTGCTCCTCCACACCCACCCTGCTCCTGCTCTCCCCACCAATGTCCACTGCACCCACTGATGCCCACCTATGTCCACTCTACCCCTGCTCTGCCACTCACACCCACCCCATCCTGATTTCACAGCTCCAGGCTCTACTTCACAAACCCGGACAAAGCAGATCTGGGGACATACTCGGTGTCAGTGAGCGACACAGACGGTGTGTCCTCCAGCTTTGTTCTGGATGAAGCCGGTGAGTGTCTAGGGGTCAGGCCCAACCACATGGCCTCACTGTACCGAGCAGACACCCCCGGAGGACCTGGCTGTACTGGGCTGACCGCACTTTCCTGCCCGATCCCCACCTGGTTTCCGCCTCCCTGAGAGAAGGTGCAGGGTCCTCGCAGTGTCCCAGACCTTGCCTATGACCCTCCTGTCATGTCCCCTGAGTCCCAGCTGCTGCCTGAAGTTCAGCTGGGGACAACAGGCCATCTAGATCAGCAGCCTGTTCCTGCCCAGGGCCTCCTGGCTGGTGACTCCTCAGGGCACAGGTTCCAGGGTGAGAAGGGAGGACAAGGCATATGTGTCAGTCAGTGGGATCTCTGAGAGCAGGAGGGAGAGCGGGAGATGGGGGACTAGCCCCTGCTATATACGAACCCCACTTGATGGCCAGTCAGAGCTGCCCCAGCACATGGCCTTCCCAAGACTGCCAAGTCTGCCTCTCCCCAGCCTTGCAGACCCCGAGAGCAGGGCATGGGGCAGAGGCCTGATGGCATCACGTGTGGTGTCAAATGCACATGGTGGGGATCTGTTCATCACAGCAGGGGTTTTCATCACCCTGCTACCCACCCCATGACCCAAGGGAGCCATCGGATATGTGGGCCTGCCCAGTCTGCCTGGTTGACCGTCACCCTTGCTCTCGGCCTCCCTGTGGCTGCGTGTTCACTGAAATGCCTGACAGAGCTCTGGGAAACCATGTGACCGGCACGTGGTATTTCTGTCTTGATCAATGTCTACAAGTGTGTGGTTGTTATCATGTCCTGCTGTCCTGGCAGGCCTGGGAGCAGATTTGAAGTTCCATGTTGGGCCTGTCAGGACAGTTCCTGTGGTTTGCAGGTGTCCTGGCCAGAAGCTGCTGCCCCTGGCAACACCAGGCCCAGCCCTCCGTCCCCAGGGAACCCTCTGTTGTTCCTGGGCACTTTAAGTGGTGTGATCCAGCTGCACGTGGCTGCCTGTGTGTTGAGGGGAGTGCCTGTAGGTCAAGGAATCTTCCACACCAGCTGCTTCCGGTTCCAGGCTTCTTTGTGACTTGAAATCAGACCTGGGGCTCAAGGCCTCTACTGTGGCTCAGCCCTGTGTCATGTCCATGTCACACCACATGTCTTTTCTTAATTTCAGAGCTTGAGCGACTGTTGGCCCTGAGCAATGAGATCAAGAACCCCAGTGAGTAGGCCCTGGCCCTGAGGGCGTCGCAGCAAGCTGGGTGGGCTGTGGTTGCCAGCACCTGGGGCCTGTGGCAGGGGTGGAGCCCCAGGACACTGTCGGGAGCCTGGTGGGCTGTGGTCACTGGCACCTGTGGCTATGGCGGAGGCGGCAGGGGTGGGGGCATTCTGGGGAAGGACAGCTGCACCCTGTGCTCCCCACATGGGGGCTCTGCAGACTCTGCCATGGCCTGGAGGGGCCCTGACTCAGGATTCGCTGTGCTGGGGTGTGTGGAAAACCCAGGGTACACCCAGCACACTCCCAGCACGAGGCTGTGGACATGGCAGGCTGAGCAGAGCAACAGGCAAGGTCTTGCTGGGTGCCTACCTTTGCAGGTTCTTTGAGATCCGCATGCAGCTTGCCTCACAGTTTCCCCTCTATCCCAATAGCAATTCCTCTGAAATCCGAGTTAGCTTATGAGATTTTTGACAAGGGCCAGGTGCGCTTCTGGCTGCAGACGGAGCCCTTGTCACCGGACGCCAGCTTCCGCTTTGTCATCAACGACAGAGAAGTGGCAGACAGTGAGGTGGGTCCTGTCTGGGAGTGAGTGCAGATGGAGCCGGAACATGGCCATGGGGGGCAGGGAGGGGTCGTTGGCTCAGCCAGCGGCCTGGGTTGGTGAGGATTGGGGTGCACAAGTTGACGATATGGGGGTGGGGTAGGCCAGTGGGGCTTTCTATGTAATCTCTCCCTCTGTCGCAGACAGAGGTTCATGTGTGACAAGGGTGGGGTGCCCTGTGTAATCTGTTTTCTCTACAGCACATAGGATGTAGTGTGCTGAGGGTGGCCGTCTGTGTAATCTGTCCCCCCTTGCCTGCAGACCCACAGGATGAAGTGTGACAAGTCCACAGGCATGATTGAGATGGTGATGGACCGGTTTACCATTGAGAATGAAGGCACCTACACCGTGCAGATCCAGGACGGCAAAGCCAGGACGCAGTCCTCACTGGTCCTCATTGGGGACGGTATGTGTGGCCCAGGGTCTCCCTATCCCTGGGCTACATGGGGAGGAGCTGCCCCTGACTGGAGATGAGTTCATGCTTTTTACTTTGCCTTCAATGCTGGATGCAGCCTTCAGAGCTGTGCTGGAAGAGGCTGAGTTCCAGCGGAAGGAATTCCTGCGGAAGCAAGGTCAGCTGGGGAAGCAGCGGCAGGCCTGGGCTGCCCTGGGGAGGCAGTGGACAGGAGGGAGCCAAGGCTGGGCCATGGGCTGGGATCCTCCCGGTGCTCTGGGCGTACCCTGATGGCTTTGCTTTCCTTCTCATCTGTCTCCAGCTGACCTCACTGCGCCTGTCCCAGGGTGCTGGGCTCAGGGGGCATGGGTGCACCTACGTTTGACTTCTTCCTTCCCTCTTACAGCCCTGTCCTCCTCTCTCTGCCCCAGGCCCTCACTTTGCGGAGTACCTGCACTGGGACGTTACAGAGGAGTGTGAGGTCCGGCTCATGTGTAAGGTGAGTGCACAGCAGGGGTTTCCATCGCCCCGCTACCCACCCCATGACCCAAGGGAGCCACAGTGGCTATGGAACACAGTAGGGGCAAGGGCCTCCAGGGGCTGTTGGTGACCCCAACATCTCAAGGCTTAGATGACTGGCCCTGCTGCCCACTGAGTGCTGTGTGCCCGTCATTGAGTCAGTGCTGTGTGCCTGTCAATGAGGCAGTGCTGTGTGCCCGTCACTGAGCCCCTGTGCCCGTCACTGAGTCAGTGCTCAGTGCAGTGTAGAGCCGCAGTTTGCTGGGTCCATCCTGCAGGGATTGTGGTCAGAGTGTATGGGAGATAAGATGTGTCGTGGCCGTGTCACGGCCTCTAGGCGGCAGCAGCCCAGCAACACATCGGTGGATGAGAGCCTCAGAAGCAAGGGCAGAGGCTGAGCCTTGGGTGGTGTGTTTGGCATGACATGGCACAAAGACATAAGTCTAGCATGATTGTGTGTGTGAGTATGCGTGGTTGTTATGTGATTGTGACCATATGTGTGCTTGATTGTGTGTGTACCTGTGTATACCATGCTTGTGGCTGTAATTGTATGATGCCTGATTCTGTGTATGGGTGACTGTGTGATTGTATGTGTAACTGTGTGTGACTGTGTGTATGATGCTGTGTGGCTTAATTGTATGTGTTTGTGTGGCTGTTTGGTTCTGTGTTGACTATGAATCTGTGTGTGACTTTGTATGGTTATGTATGATTGTGTGTGACTGTGTGGCTGTTTTTGATGCTGTGTGGCTTTAACTGTATATGACTGTGTGGCTGTGTGATTCTGTGTGTGATTGTGACTGTGGCTGTGTGATGGTAATTGCGTGTGATTGTGTGGCTGTTTGTGGTAGTATGTGTGAGTGACTGTGTAAGACTGGACACTGCTTTCCACCACACCTCCTGTCCTGCGGCTGCCCCATCCCTTCCTCTGTATGAGCACCACGTGCCTTGCACATGGGGGCTTTTCCCTCCCCTTGGACGTGTAGTCAGGGTGGTGGTAGGAGCACCTGCTCCTCCTTGGACCTCTGGCGGCACCATGTCTAGCCAGGGTCTCGTGTGCCCTTGGCCATGGGACTTTTTCCTGCTGAGGTTCCGTATCCTTGATGGTGGCCTGGTGTGAACTGGCTGAGTAGCACATCTCACATTGTCCACATGTCACAAACCTTGTTCTCGGCTTGTCTGCCTACGTGAACTTCACACACATGGAGGATGCTGCTGTCTGCTCTCATGGACTGGACCTGGAGGTTCCATGCAGGCTTCATGAATTTAGAGGCTGGACACACTGTTGTCTCTGAGGCAGCCACTTTCCCATGGCCCCTGGGGAGGCTGTCCTGCCTTGGGCCCGTGGTCCATGGGCTCCCACCCTGGCTCCTGTCTCGCAGGTGGCCAACACTAAGAAGGAGACTGTGTTCAAATGGCTCAAGGACGACGTGCTGTGTGAGACGGAGGCACCACCCGACTTGGAGAAGGGTGTCTGTGAACTGCTCATACCCAAGGTACTTCACTGGGTGACAGGCACGCTCGTGTGGTTTGCAGGATGGCTGCATCACCCACCAGCTGCCTGGAGGCCCTGTGGGCCGCAGAGGAAGTGGTGAGGCACATGGCACCTTTCTGCCACATGTCCTGGATGTTGCGCTGATGTGGTGGGCTCTGTCTACAGCTCTCCAAGAAGGACCATGGCGAATACAAGGCGACCCTGAAGGATGAGAGAGGCCAAGACACATCAACCCTGGACATTGCTGGCAAAGGTTAGCAGCCGCCTCCCTGTGCTTTGTGGGGAAATCCTCCTCCCCGTTGCTCACCCCTCCTTGTGCTGGGCTGCAGGTGGACCCCTTGGCACCTGGCCACCCCCAGGGCTGTCTTAGTGCCTTAGGCTCTCACCATGATACATGCACAGGCAACTGGTCCAGTTCATGATGTGCTTGGGCTTGTGCCACCTGCGACATTCATTTTAGTTGGAAAGAACCAGGATTAGTTGCACCCACAAGCCATGTATGGCTTAGTGTCATGGTTTCCTCTGTCATGGAATCTACCACAGAGAAGGCTGTGGTCTGCCCCTAGTAACCATATTTTTGTCTTCCCCACAGTGTACGAGGACATGATTCTGGCCATGAGCAGAGTCTGTGGTAAGTCAGTGTCCCCGGGTCTCGGGCCACCATGGGGCCATGATTGCTGTGTCTAGAGAGAGACATCAGCTGCTTATGGGGAAGGCAGGAGAGACCGGGGCAGGTGCAGAGAGGACAGGGTATCAGCTGCTCCCCTGATGGCTCCAAGGGCAGTGCTGTGTGGCAGAGTTAGAGCAAGCCAGAGAGAGAGAGAGAGAGAGAGAGAACCTTCCACTCACGGGTGCACTCCCCAGATAGCTGCCACAGCTGGGGCTGAGCTGGGCTGAAGACAGGTGTCGCATCCAGATCTCCCTCCTGGGTACAGGGGCCCAAGACGCAGCTGTTGGGTGGGAGGCGTGTCACCCTCCTGGATTGTCTCTGCTCCGTTATCCTGTCTGTGTGAACTGATGCTGGATGCTATCTGGATGGTGGCAGCTGCTATCTGTGCGAAGCTTCATGCCACCATTGTGTGGTTTCCTTCCTGCGGGTCCCGGAGTGGCTGGCTCAGTGTCAGCATGACATGTGGCTCCAGCACACCCCCGTTAGGCCCTTGGGGTTAGCCTGCTGCCTCACAGCCCTAGCATCCTGGCACAGACCACTGCATGTCTCTTCCTCACTCTTCCCAAAGCCCTGCAAGGTTAACTCACACTGTGGCCCTTGCTCCATCCTGTGACGTGACCATGGTTAGAGCCGTGTTGCCCACGATGATTACACATGGGCTTGCAGCCCCTTGGAAACACAAGCACCACTTGGGAAGGGCCACACAGTCTAATGCCATGTAATACACCAAGGACCACACACTCCAATGCCATGTGTCATGCTAAAAGGCCACATTAATGTCCCATAACAAGCAAAAAGCCACACACTCCAGTGCCCTATAACATGCCGAGGAGCCACATTTTCTAATGTCATATGATATGCTAAAGAGCCACACTCTCTAGCTTCATATCACACAGCAAAGGGCTAGCATGCTCTAATGCCATGTGACACCCAAAGGCCACATGTTGACACACAGCTGCTCATGTGGTTTTGAGAAAGTGAACATACACAGAAGACAGCCAGCTGTGCAGAACATGTTCCCGCTGCATCCTTATTCCCCATGGCATCTCCCAGTGGGAGAGATGTGTGTGCTGTGCCCATGCAGAACATGTTACTGCTGCGTTCTCGTCCCCCACACCCTCTCCCAGTGGAGAGGGCATGCCCATGTAAAAGACCGTGTTTCTGCTGTGTTCTTCTTCCCTACACCATCTCCTAGCAGGAGAGGTGTGTGTGCTGTACCAGGGTTGTGTCAGTGATCTGCCCTCTGTGGACTGGGCCTGTGTTGCCTTTCAGGAGGAGGCAGGCATAGCCGGTACTAGGGCCCATGCATGTGGGAGCTGCAGGGGGTGAGCACACGACTCCATGGAACTCTCTTAGCAGGGTCTCCATGTGGCCTTTGGCACTGAGGGTGTGTGAAGCTCAGACAGGCTTCTGTGGGGCCACAGAACATGCCTCCCACCCAGACAACTGATGGCCTGCCCACTCCGCTCCATCTTGCTCCAAGAGCAGCTGGCTATGGGCTGGTCTCACTCCTCCACTGGGCTGCACTGGCTTGGCCACATCTGCCCACTCTGCACACACACACACACATTTGCTGACACACAATACATACTCTGACACACTCACACACACTTGTGCCTTGATACTAATGCTTGTATTGACACACACACACACATCCAGACACACTTGGTCACACTCACACCCCAACACACTGACGGACATGCACATTCATACATACATGGACATACACTCACACTCTGACACACATGCTCTAACACATGAATACAGCCATGCACGTTTATACATTCACTGACACATAGTAATGTGCACAGACACACACACTTTGACATTCCCATACACACACTTCAACACACTGATGGACATACACACACATACACTCACACACACTCACTTACACCCTGTGACACACACAACCATATGCATACTCACACTATGAGGCCTCTCCCTGCAGAAAGCTTTGTGGATGAGAAACAGGCTGCAGGTGTGGGTTGGCCGGCTGCCTTCACCTGGGCCTCCTCCCCAGGGAGCTTGGTGGGGTGGTCATTAGCCCTGGAGCTCACCACTGTGGATCCTGCAAGCTCATCCCTGCAGGTTATCCCTGGCATTTCCAGGTGTGTTCAGACATGTCCATGGCTGTCTGTGGCTCTCTGTTGGTGTTCAGAGTCATCTGTGAGTTTCCATGGTGGTTCTGCTTGTCTGTTCAGATGTGCCCATGGTGGTTCTCTGTGTATATGTATGTTCAGGCATGTCTGTGGGGCTCCCTGTGGCAGTTCTGTGTGGCTACCAGGCGTGTCTGTGGTGGTTCTGTGGGGACGCAGAGTGCAGCTCTGTCTCACCCTCCGCATGCTCGTGTCAGGCCTGATCCCTGCTCTGTCCTGCAGGGATGTCTGCCTCCCCACTGAAGGTTCTCTGTACCCCTGATGGCATTCGGCTGCAGTGTTTCATGAAGTTCTTCACGGAGGAGATGAAGGTGAACTGGTACCACAAGTAAGTGCTGCCATGACTCCCTCAGCCTTCTGTAGCTTTGTCATGTTGTGGGCCCAGTGGACAGGGCTGAATGCTGTGTCATGGTGCAGACAGGCACATTGGTTTATTAGCTGTCCATGACACTGGGCTGCTGGCATCACTTGGCCATACTGAACTGTGTTGCCATGGGCATGGGGGATGGGACATGCATCCCAGCCATGGGCATGGGGGGTGGGACATGCATCCCAGTCCTTGCTTTCAGTCCACGGGTGTATGTAAGGGAAGTTGCTGGATCAGTGTGTTGTGTCATGTCGGGTGTGACTCTACCAGCATCGGAGTCGCTGCAGGTTTCAGAGCCGAGTCATGGATGCACTCTGGTCTGTGCAGACAGTGGTGGCCATTTGTCAGCACAAAGGGAACATGACATGGGGATGCTGAACTGAATGAGTCTCTTCCTTGTCTAAATAGAGAGGCTAAGATTTCATCCAGTGAGCACCTGCGGATTGGAGGCAGTGAGGAGATGGCGTGGCTGCAGATATGTGAGCCTACGGAGAAGGACAAAGGCAAATACACTTTTGAGATCTTCGATGGCAAAGACAACCATCAGCGCTCGCTCGACTTGTCAGGACAAGGTAGGAAGTGGCTTTCCATGGAGGGCCCATGCAGAGGCCGGGGTGGGGACCCAGGGAAGTCAGATCTCAGGAGGCCAGCTCTGAGGATTTGCATGAGAGGGGACGGATTCTGGTGGAGGAGCCCCGTGGTGGTGAGATCTCAGGATGCTCAGAGAGAAGGCAGATTCCTAAGAGCATCTAGTCATACAGACGTCCGTCAGTTCATAGCCAGCGTCCCGTAACTCTGAGTGGGTCAGTGGGGTCACATGTGAGGAGCAGGCTGACGATGAGAGGAATCTTCCCTTTCAGCCTTTGATGAAGCCTTCGCAGAATTCCAGCAGCTCAAGTAAGAGAGCATGTGGGCCGCAACCGTGTAGACATGCAGGAGGGGCAGTGACCATGTACACTGTGCATTAGGATCTGCCTGTGTAGACTGTGTTAGATGTGCCTGTGTAGACTGTGTTAGGATCTGCCTGTGTGGGCTGCACACTGTGTTATCGTTGTCTACACTGTCACATGAGCTAGTGCTGTGTTGTCACACTGTCTCACCAGTTAGTCCCTTGTGGTTGGCTTTTGGGTTGTTTGTGTCTCCCAAGTGTGCATGCTTTCTGGAGGCTGATTGCTCAGCTGTCTGAAGGTAGACCCATAGGTGAACCTAGTGAGTGTGTTCTGGGATAAAAATGGCAATGCTCGCCATTCAGCAGGTGGCAGGGAAGCAAAGTGCTATTAAGTATAAATTAGCTTCCCTGAGTTGTAGTTTCTCGACGTTAGGCTCTAGGATCAGAGGATGCATTTCCAAGTCATAGCAGTGGAACAAGTCATCTGGGTACTGTGTGCAAGAAGGATCCGGAGTCATACAACGCATGCAATGTCTCCCCCACTCCCACTGGGATCAGGGATCTGTACCGTGTGTAGGTGGCAAGGAGAAAGCAGAGTGTGACGGTCCCTCGATAGTGTCTGCATCCCAGGCCCATCGGGGGCAGTGATACAGCCTGGAGTTGCAGGGCGGCACTGTCCCCCTGCGCTGGGGGACAGGCCAGGGGAAGGGGGACCCAAGGTACCCTGCCACAGGACCTCGTGCCTTCCCTGGGAGCCCTAGGAATGGTGCCTGTGTTGGTGGTGTCGCTCCACACTCTTATTTCCCATTTTCTGTCCTTCCATTCCAAGGGCTGCGGCATTTGCAGAGAAAAGTGAGTATCTTGCATGTGCTTTTGATGAACTGTGCCCTGGGTAGGGGGCAGAGGCAGAGGGTCATGCCACACATGGCCATGGGCTGAACATGACCCGGCTGACATCTGACTGCCTGAACCAGTATCTCTGCCTGGCTGCTCCCCACTTCCATGCCCGTCTCCCTCCTGCCCTGCATGGGTCCTGGCAGATCCCTGTCACCATGGCCCCGGGGCACATGGTCCCCTCCTGTGTCACTACTGACCCTTCACCCGAGAGCCCATTCACATGCTGTCATCATGCTGGGGTGCTTCATGCCCCAACCCCTGGCTTTTCCCTGCACCATGCATGCCCCCTCTTTCTCCTGGGTGTGTCCCAGGGGACCACAGGGGTTGCTGTGTCCTCCACTCAGTGGCTTTGCTGTTGCAGATCGTGGCAAGGTGATTGGCGGTTTGCCTGATGTGGTGACCATCATGGAAGGCAAGGTGAGAGTGACAGCAGGGTGGTGAAGGCTAAGCTAGTGTGTGTGGGGTTCAGAGCAGAACTCTCCCAGAAATGGCTCTGTTCCATGCATCACCCCATCTACAGGGTACAAGGGTGCCTTGCTCCAGCTGTGTAGGCTGCCCTGTTGCTCCCTGTGACATGGGAAATGTCATAGCTTCCCACTTGCTTGCTTTGAATGCACACGTGTATGACCTGGGCACCACCAATGGGGCCTATGGTAGCTGCTGGGGGTAAGGGGGAAGGTAAGGGACTTCTCTGCCCACCTGCCCCTGTGGTGTGAACTGTCAACACTTTCATCAGAGGACAGACACACTCAGATTGCTGTGGCGTGTGGAAGCAGAAGCCTGCATGCTGCTTCCTGGCAGGGGAGTTAGTCTTGCTGCCCCCATCTCTTCCCTGGTTGCATGGTGACTGACTCAGCATCATAAGGGAAGCTGCTTGGGGCCGAGGGCTGAGAGTGTTGGGGCTTCCTCTGGGGGCATGCGAGTTCCAGGGCAGGTCCCTTGGTGGAGGGGGATGGAGAAGCCAGCAGTCATCTCTCAGCTCGGCCTAGTGGCACATCCATGCTGTGACATTGTGGGCAGCTGAGTGGCAGTAAACCAAGGACTCAGGGCCACTCCCTCCATGGAAGTACAGAGAAGATGCAGAGAGGCTGAGTACCTGCCGTGGTCGCAGAGTTTCACCTGCTCAGCAAAAGCCAGAGAGACAGGCACATGGCACTGCTGGTTCTAAAATTGCATCTATTTGTTTACTTGGAAGGCAGGACTACAGAGAGTGAACACACACACACACACACACACACACACACACACACACACACACACACACATCATCTACCCTCTGGCTTACTCCCCATGTGGCTGCAGTGGCCAGAGCTGGGCTTGTTTGAAGCCAGAAGTCAAGAGTTTCATCCAGGTCTCCCACATGTGTACAGGGGCCCAAGCACTTGAGTTTGGGCCGTCGTCACAGAGTGCTTTCCCAGGCCATGAGCAGGGAGCTGGGTTGGAACAGAGCAGCTGGGACTTGAACCAGTGTTCATCCCACATGGTACTGCAGCTGGAGGCTTAGGCTGTGGAGTCACCTTGATACCTCAGGGCGTGGTTTTCCCCATGAGCTCTCCCAGGTGCTGATCCCACTGCCCCGTGTGGCTCTGCTGAGTCTCCGGTGCTTGGGCACACGCAGGGCCTGTTCCCCGCTGGCCTCACCCTGCCCCTCTGCCCACCCCTTCCTCCTGCAGACCCTGAACCTGACCTGCACCGTGTTCGGCAACCCTGATCCTGAGGTGACGTGGTTTAAGAATGACCAGCACATTGAGCTGAGCGATCACTTCTCTGTGAAGGTGGAGCAGGCCAAGTATGTGAGCCTGACCATCCAAGGCGTGACCGCCGAGGACTCGGGCAAGTACAGCATCAGCGTCAAGAACAAGTATGGTGGCGAGAAGATTGACGTTACCGTCAGCGTGTACAAGCATGGCGAGAAGATCCCGGAGGCTACTCTGCCCCAGCAGGCCAAGCCCAAGCTTATCCCTGCCGCGGCGGCCGACTAGGCTGGGCGGGTTGCAGGCCACCATGGAGCTTTCACTTGGCATTGGCACTTTTTGTTTCATGTTCTTTTAAGGGAGGAGCTGAAGTCTGTCGCAGGCTTAGTGCCCTCAGCTCCGGGGGAAGTGCAGGTGCCCACCCGTGTGGCTTGGCTGCTGTGGGCTGGGAGCTGGCAGTGCCCTGCCTCTGGAGTATCTCTTGCTTCAGGCTAATAAAGCTCCACCAGGCGCCTGCCTGTGGTGTTCCAGTCCCTATTTCTGACTCCATCCTCCCCTGGGTGTCCTGCGTAGGGTGTGCCAGCACCCACCAGCACCCAGAGCAGGGCTTGCTAGCGCCCAGAGTATGCCTGCCCCAGACCTAGGCTCAGAGTGGGGTTCACGGCATTACCATCGCCCCTTTTGTGCAAGGCTGGGAAGGATACCCCGGACATGGGGTTGGCTTCAGTGGCATTAGTTGAGTCTCACAGAGTGCCAACTCCATCCAGGGCAGTTTTAGGTTCAGAGTCAAAGGAGTAGGAAATGATGAACATCCTGTCATACTCCTTACCCACCAACACATAGCACCCCCAACTGTCACTATCCCCACCCTCTACTGCGGTCATGGCAACCTATCATCCTGCACCATCCTGGCAGGGCCCATGGGCAGCTGCCTTTCCCCACCCGTGACATCTGGGTTGTCAGAAGCCACGAAGACAAAACAGCATAGGCAGGCCTTTGGGGCTTCCCGTCCTACAGGAGTGACACCAGAGTCCCTTCAAGCCCTGAGTGACCCTGGCCCTGTGTACTTTCTGGCCTTCCTGCAGTGCTGTGGGCTGGGCACTGTCTGCTTCTTCACAAGCATCCTGGCACAAAATCAGCCCTCAAAACTGTAGGGTTTATTTAAAAGGTGAGGGATTTACAAACATGTGGGCCATGTTCAGGAACAGAGTGAGAGAGAAGAAGGAAGGGAGGGAGAGATACCCTTTTGTGATCTGCCCTTGGGTCCCAGGTGAGGGGGTCATCCTGGGAAAGCTGTGGTTTGACAGGTGGGTGACCTGGATTACATGGTGGTGGGGGGGGATCTGCTTGACTGTCCAGTGTCAGGAGGAATCCCCATCTTCCACCATTGTGCTCCTAGGGACTCAGGGATTGGACTGCAATAGTGGCCCCCCTTTCATAATTTTTCCATGGTGGGTTTGGCGCTCTCATCTGACTCAGGGAGTGGAGGGCTTCCAGGAACATAGAGGACAAACAGGTGACCGAGTAGATGCATGAGAGCCTCCCAAGACCACGGACCAGGATAAGAGTGGAGTGGGCTTGGTGTGCCAGGTCCAGGTTCTGCCTGGACTTCCCAGCTGCCATCTGCAGGGTGGCTTCTAGGAAGCTCATAGCCTCCAGGAACAAAGAGAGATGTGGGGCGGGCAAATCCAGTGACACATCCACAGGTTCCCCTGACCAGCTCCCCTGAGGGAAGGGCAGGGTGCCCACAGGGATTCCAGCATTGTTCTAAGGAGGAACCCAGTGAAAACACCACAGAGACGAGCAAGTGCTCTGGTGTAGAATTCAGAATGAAACTCAGGATGGCGCCAACAGGGCCAGGACAGCAATGCATGAGCAAAGTGAGCATTTCAAGGAGAGAAAAACATATATATCTACATATCATGGCGCTAAAGGGTGAAGTGATTGGGCTAGAAATTAATAGGTGGGTTCATCAGCCAACTGGGTCAACTAGAAGAAACTGTTAGGAAACCCTTAACAGGCCTGAAGACATCATTGCAAATCACTCACTGTGAAGAACAGAGAATGCAGAAGGCTTGGGGGAATAAGGCAGGTGGGGCAGCGTGTATACTCCTGGAATTTCAGAAGGCAGAGAGGACAAATGCAGACAAGCTGTGAGGGAATCTGTACAAGAAGTAGGATCCTGATGCAGGGAGCTCCAGTGGCACATGGCAGTGGCCAGGCTGAACTGCGTTCTAATCAAACTATGGGATCAGAAGCTGCAGCACCAGGACTGCCTTACTGGGATGGCAGGCAGTTACACTGTGGTGATGGGACATGGGATGTAGTCCCAATGACTTGGCCTCATGGCTGTGTCAAGTTTGGGTCTGTTACCGGAGACCCATGGGTCAACAGTCACATGCTGGGAACTTGTACTTGGTGGGAGACCCTTAGGCCATGTGGGGTCCAGCCGCAGTCCACTGGCTGTGCTCAGGCAAGGTGTGTGTCTTCTGGTGTCAGGCATGCGGTCCAGTCCCGGTCCACTGGCTGTACCTAGGCAAGGTGTGTGTCTTCTGGTGTCAGGTAGTTCTGTGTCCTGGCCTGCCCAATGGCCCAATGGGCACCTCCACTTCCAGCCAGGACAAGCTGTCTCCTCTGACCCTGTGCATTTAATACATCTGTGCGTGTGCCACGCAAATGACCAGTTAGGATGTATGTGAGATAAACCCTAATGCTGTGCTGGTGACTGAAACTCAGTCAGGCCCAGGGGAACAGGGATCCTGGCCCACGCATGTGAGCCTGACCATTGTCTTCACAGTGTCCATACCATTCTTTCCACGAAGCCATGGATCCTGTCCAGTCACGCTGATCCTGAAAACTGTCAGCACTGGCGGCAGCTGACCTGTAATAGGTGCAGCAATGAATGCCCACGGGCAGCCGACACCTCTCTTGTCTGCACACACACAGGTTCCCAGTGCACTCCGGGCTGCCTGGACAGGCTCCTGGACCACAGCAGGCCAGGGCTGTGCCCTAGTTTAGTGCCTGCACACCAGGGCAGGGTCGCACTGTGCAGGTTCCCCCTTCTTCCTCAGAGCCCTGCTCGGTGCACCCCGCAGCCGGGCCCAGCAGGGACAGCGGCCAGCCTCCCCGGCCCTCCACCGCGTCGGAGGGCTGCGGGCGCCCCTGCGGAAACAGGGCGGCGCTATGCAGCACGCCGGCCCGAGGGCGCCATGGCCGCTTCCCGTGGACGGCCCGATCCCCTCCGAGACACCAGCCTGGCTCCGCTCCTCGCCCGCACTCTCCCTGAGGACGGAACCGGCTTCTGAGAGAAGGAAACGTCTCCAGGAGCCAAGTTCCTGCAGGCGGCAGGCGGAGCACAGAGAGGACATCCGGGCGGCTTCCGCCGACTGCTCCTGCGGAAGTGTTCCCCGCGGCCTCCCCCACCTTGGTTCCGGGCGCCTGCAGTGCCAGCTCGGTTCTCTGCGCATGCTCGGGGCGTGCCCTGTCCGGGATGGACGGCGCTGGTGGGAGCGTCCTGGTGGTCCGGGCTGCTGAGCACTGGGAGGCCTTGGCAGCGTGAGGCCTGGCGAGGGGACAGGCGCCAGCGTCCAGGCTCCCGACTGGAATTCAGAGAGTCGGCCTGGAGCCCCTTTGTAGCTTTGATTTGACGAAGGTAACCTGGAAAAATCCTGTACCCTGGCGAGGCAGGAATCCCGTAAGTGGAGGGGACCTCCAACTTAAAGGGAACTCACTTCAAGAACACTTCTTGGGGTACCCACGTGCTGAGGGACAGTCAGTGGTGTGAGGGCACAGTCATCCCTGAGAGACCCACGTGCTGAGGGACAGTCAGTGCTGTGAGGGCACAGTCACTCCCACGTGCTGAGGGACAGTCAGTGGTGTGAGGGCACAGTGTTCCCTGAGGGACCCACGTGCTGAGGGACAGTCAGTGTGTGACAGCATAGACATCACTGCAGGACCCATGTTCTGGCCAACAGCACCAGAAGTTTAATGACAAAGTCACTTTTGTGAATGTTCAATCTGTTCTCATCTGGCAGCATTGGAGGATCAGTGACAAATGTCCCCCTGGTCTTCATGTCAGGTGGACTTGTATCAGTGCTTAGAATGAAGATACTGGCTTATTTTTTAAAATTGTGTTCCTTTTTTCATGGAATAATAAAATGTATATTCAGTTTTTTAAATCTTTTAAAAAATTCTTGTTCAGTGTATGGTAAGGAGATAACATTACAGACCTGTGTGGGAAGTGCTTTTAACATAGATATTAATGGTGATAGTGATTAGGTGGGAAACACAATATACTTCTGCCTAGTTTTTATTTAAGAGTCAATAAATTTATTACCAAAAAGTAGTACACGGGTTTTACTAAAAGTACATTCTATGAAATGGCCAATGGTGAAAATCCTTGCCATCCTGCTTGCTCAGGATGAACCAATTTAACCTTCCAGAGACATTGATAATTATACACACAGGTCACAAATGTGTGTGTTTCATTCAGTCATTGCAAGCCTTTTGCAAACATCACAGTGTTTAATTCTCATAACAGCTCGGTCAGCAAGATATGAAGATTTATCCGTTGTGCACACTCTAGGTACAACTTGTGTTTTGGAATCCCCAATTCATTTGTTTAACTGATGTGGGTTCCAGAACACTCACCAGTGAGTGGGGCTTTGCAGTCAGCGGGTAAAAGCACAGCGCAGAAGGTTTCATGAAGTGTCCAGGTCTGGCTCCTGTTGGTCTGAAAAGCCATGTTCTGTACTTCTAAACTGTGAATCAGTGTGAATCTATTTCTACAGATAAGATGGATTCACCAGATTTATGTTCTACAACCAAGACCACGCAACTAGTAAGGGGCAGAAGAATGATTTTAACCCAGGTTGGTTGATTTCAGACTTTCTACCTGCCTGGCTTTGTGTATGTTATCAGTCTTTCTCTCACTCTAGTTCCTCCCTTTCATCCTTGTTACTCCCTTCCCTTCCCTACCTTACACTTCCTCCCTGTCGTATTCCCTTCCCTCCTTCCTTCCCTCCACCCATCTATATTAATTCTCTCTCCATCCATCCATCTAGTCATCCATCCATCGGCTATTTATCACTTTTGTCTATCCACCTATAGACTTCCTTCCCTTCAGTTTCTTCCCCCTTCCTCCCTCTTCATCCATCCGCCAGTTATCTCTGTATTTTCCTTCTTTTTCCCATTATCTCTTCATATGTCCGTTGGTATCTACTCTCTATTCTCCCCTGTATCTGTCAATCTTTATGTCTATACAAATATTTCTCTAGTTTTACTAAACTGTAGCATAATTTACACACTGTTCCAATGGACACTTTCCAGATCTAGACCCTCATTTTAATGAAATGCCCACTTTAAATCACAGAGGGAGGATTTCTGGCTCTTTTATTGATGGGCTGATGCTCAAGGACAGTAATGCATTTCTCAGAGCTCTTGGTAGTTCTTGGGCTCAGGTTTTGTTTTTTTTTTTTTTTGCATAGCAGCCCTGGCATCATGCTGGCCTGAG